TATTTCACTTATCATTTAGAGAACTTCTAAAGTAGCCCCTCCTGCCAGTATACTAAAATGCTATAAACTGCAGTAGGTTTTCTTTTTGTTTTTGTTTTTAATTTGAAAGTCAACCCCTCTGCTTTCTGTCTTCAAGATTATCTAGCCGACCACTTAAGCAAATTTGCCTTCATCTGCAGTTTGCCAAGACTTTTTTCCCTCCTATTTCCTTTCGGAGATTAATGATCAAGTGTCATTAGATTTCCACCCCAAACCCCTATCTGGACAACAGCGCTGGTGACCTGAGACCCAGGGCACCAGGAAGTACCATCATTTTGGTTTTGTCCCAAAGCTTACACAGATGGCAAAAAAAAAAACAAAAACTCACCACTACAAAACCCCTCTCCCTCCCATCCCGTCCACCCAGTACCCCTCTACCCTGTACAACTCTTTAAAAAGCAAATTGGCCAGTCTATCCTAAAAAGAAAAAAAGCCTCCAGAGTTTAGACTTCTAAAATGTACAGATAACAGGTACACACGGGCCACCTTCCTTCCTGTGAGATGGACTCTTTATTTGTTAACATTGCCGAAAGGCTTTTAAATTTTTTTTTTCTTCCTTCTGGGTAGGCTGCATAGTGCATAGAGTTTTGAAATAGGTTTAAACTGTAACCCTTTCTGCAATGCAATCTATTGGGTAGTGTTCCCCCCCATCCCCCCCTCCTTATTTCACTGGTTGGAATGCTTTTTTGCCTCTGCTCTGTGGCTTTTTTTTTTCCTTTTAATTTTTTTCTTTGTAGCGAGTTACTCTGAGTTTTATAAATCCATGAACATCGGTGTCTTTTTGATTTTTGGTCAGTTTGTTTTAAGCTGTTTGCCATCAATAAAATATTAATAAAACACTCTTGCATTCATATTTGGAGCTAGACTTCATTGTAGAGGGAAGTAGTCAGCAAAGCTCCCAGGGCCCAAGGACCACTTGAGCCATCTAGGGCTCACAAGAAGGTAAGGCAGTTGAGCCAGGCAGAGGGACTGGTCTCCACACACATCCCTTTAATAAATCCCTGAGTTTTCGAGCATGTTAATTGCCCAGGGCAGTTTCCCACCCTGCCTTTCTGCAGTGGCCATTTGAGGTTATTGGAAAGGGCACTGATTCAGGGGGGTCAGGAGATGGGGGGTGTTACTCTGCTCTGTTGCTGATGACCTGTGATTCTGGACAGAATTGTTTTCCTTCTTGGGTCTCAGCAAAACCAGCTGCACTCTAAGGCCATATCCGTGCTAAGCAAGCGGTGAGCACAAGCTTCCAATCTTGATGCCCCTCCCTCCAGGTTCGAAGGAAGTGCTTGTCTCCCTGCAGAGAATCTGGTTCCATTTGAATATTGGGCTTAGACAGACTTCCTGTGAATTCCTCCTGCAGGAAATGTGGGCTTTGTTGTGGCCCAGCCTCACAGACCTGTTCTTCTTTTACCACTCCTGACCATATCCATGTCCAAACCTTTTTATCTCATTGTGGGAGCAATTGGAGACCATTCTGACCAGAATGGGGAGCACTTTAGAAAGGGAGAAGAGAGAGGCTCAGGTCTGGGAGCAGAACTGGCCCAGCTCTTGAATGTTCTCTCCCTGCCTTCCCCATCGATCTAGTCCAGTGGGCTGTTCTTAAAATGTGTAGCTGGCTCGTGATTAATTAAAAGTAGTAGCAGCTGCTGTTTGAGTCCCTAAATTAACATCACCCACAGGATTTTTTATCCTTTTTTTAAAAAATGGGTTTTCCAGAGTAGACCAGAGGCACAAACCTGAACCATTCAATTAACAGTCGTCCCCATGTTAAGAGCTAATGGCAGGCCTTCACAAACATTGGGAAAACAGTTTGCTTTCAATAGAATCGATCAACAAGCATCATTAAGTGCAAGGTATTAGGATTTGCACATAACGACCGCAAAAATGCAATCCTGATAAGACCAAGCAGAATAAAGGTGTGTCAAGTTGAGTCTGGGACAGGGAAACTAATCTTGGTCTGCTGTTCAGCCCAGGTGCTGGGAACCCAGCTTGGCAGGCATTTGAGATTACCTGTGTGGCTTCAGCTAGTCTTCATGACTTAAGAGGGAAGGGGGCAGGAGGGCTGGTTTAGATGACTTCTAAGGGCTATTCCAGCTCTTCATCAGATTGAAGATAAGGAAATACACCTGTCTAACCCCTGGGAGTCAGAGGGGCCAAATATTGATTCCTCTCTGCCTTCCGGTTTCCCACGGCCTCCCACCTGGCCTCTGCAGACTTTTTCCCCAGGGGGCTTCCAGGCACAGGAGAGAACAAGCAGCACATTGTGAGAACTTTTTGCCTTGTTTGTGTTAAGAGGATTGGGCCTGGGTCTGCCTTGGTCTCCAGCCTCCCTCCCCACCAAGGAGGTAGTGGGGTAAGGGTAGAGGCAGGTCACTCTTGACAGCCCTAAGGTACCTTAGGCTTTGTGAACTGGAAAGCTCAACTCTCCAAAAAGTCTTCAGGCTAAACCAAACCAAAACAAACCCAGTAGTTTTATTAGTCAGGTTTTAAGGATACACACAGGGGGCAGGCCCGAACACACCAGATTCCCCTTTAGGGGATCCCCTCTGGCAGGAAGGGAGGGACTCCAGGTGCTCCTCCTTGCCCTTGGGGACCCAGGCTCCCATCATCGGCACCCACACTCATCAACCACCATGTCTTCATAGTGCCGTAGGACCACATTGTCACTGTTGTCATAGAAGAGCACAGAGATGGGTGACAGCTTCACTGGGACACAGCAGGGTGGGGGTGTTGTGGCTGGAGCCACTGAATGCATCAGGGATTGCATGACAGCGTGGTTCAAACTGGAGATCTTAGTGGCAGTGGGGAAAAAGCAGTGCCCTTGACAGTAATTGGCCATGAAGCCTCGGGGGGCAATGATCCAATTGTGCCAGCCCACTTCCCGGAAATTGATGTAGAGCCGTCGAGCTTTACACGGAGGGTCGGGGCTGTCCAGAGGGGCCAGGTAGGTTGCTCGGCGCTTCCTGGAGGTGGGCTGGCATAGCTGTGGGTCAAGGGTCACCACCAGCAGGGATGCCTCTAGAGAATGCCCCAGTTTGGTACACAAGCCTCGAGGCAGGTCACTGTCTCTACCAGGCAACATCTCCAATACTAGGCTCAGGTTCTGGGGGAAAGTGGAATTCCCCAACCGGCCCAAGGCCAGCATGTCAAAGTAGAGGGGATCATGCAATGTGGGCACTGTCCGCCTCAGCAGGACCTCTCGGTGGTGCCAGTACAGGGGCTGACCCCACAGTCGGCCCTGGGCATAGGACAGGCTCAGCTCCCAGTCCTGGGCAGGGGCAAGGTTTCCAGGGGCACCAAAGTTCAATTCCAGGCGGACTAGTGTCAGCTGCTCCTTAGGGTCTAGGAACGAAAGATTGAAGAAAAGGGGCTTCTCCAGGCATAGGGAGCCCAAGGCTGGCTCTGGTGGGGCAGAGGCACCTACGGGCCAAAGTGTTAGGTGAGGCTGGGGAAAGCTCTGCAGAGCTCCGCTCACCCTTGCCCACCTCCCCATCCTCAGAAGCTGGCCACCCTTCAGACCTTCCATAAACTTATTGGAGTCGTAAGTGGGTTCGGGTTCTTGCTCCATCACTTACTGGCTCTGTGACCTCGGACTAATGTGAGGAGCGATAGTATCAGGGGCTCAAGTTACAAGGAAGCAACTTTCTACTCAATTTCTGTATGGGGCAGTGGCCCAGGAGTGAAAATGAAAATAGGTCAGCAAGGCCGGGATTCAAACTGTGCCCCGGGGCCACTTACTAGGTGAATTGCTTCCTGGCTCCCTCTCTTCCTTGCAAGAAAGGGAGAGTCTTTGCCCTGGAGAAGGGACAGCAGATGCTGACCCAAACCCAATGCTGTCCTTGGGATCCCGGCTCCCCAGATGGAAAGGAAAGGGATGGAAGAGCTGGCCCGGGAGGTCCAGGACCTCCGGTGTTGTGAACAGGGACGGGTAGTGAAGCCAGGTCCCCTCCCGGCTCCAAAGAACAGATGGAGTACCCCTCCCCCTAATAGATGAGGGAATTGAGGAAGCCCAGGCTGGGGGCTGGCCTTCCTAATCCCAGCTCCCTAATATGGAGCGTCCTTCCCTCCCAGCCGGGGACTGGGGTGGTGGAAGTGGACACAGCCCGCATGCCCCCTAATTTACCGCCGTCGAGGACGTGCCGCACGATGTTCCCGGGGACGCCCAGCTCCTCCACGTGGCAGGGCAGGGGCTGGGGCTCCTGGGGCATTTCTGGCCCTGCGCTCTCAGACCCTTGGGTCTCTGCAGCCTCTGGGCCCCTTCGAAAGAGCCGCCACATGACTGAGGGGACGGGACGGGTGGGAGGGGGCCCCGGGGGCGGACTCAGCCCCAGGGTCTGGAGCAGGGCACTGGCCTGGGGTGAGAGGGTCCCAGACGGGGGCTGGGTCAAACCAGGTTGGGGCAGGGGCAGGAGAAGGGGAAGGAGCAGGAGCCAGGGCAGAGGGGAGAGAAGCTGCAGACAGCGCATCTTCCTCGAAGCCACAGGACGAATGTCTGCCGCTGTCCAAGCTCCTGCTCTGGGCTGCCTTATAGCCCCGGGCATCCCTGGGGGCTGCTGGCACCCCAGGGCGAAGGCAGGAGGGGCTTGGCCCACCATTGGGCAGGGAGGTGTGAGAGCGCCTCGCCCCTTAACGCTTTCCTGCTCAGAAGGAGGCGGGGGGGGGGGGGGGCGGTTTGCTCACAGGGCTGGTGAGGAGGGGGGCGGGGAAAAGGTCACCGTCTCTTTGCTCCCAGTTCCACACTCCAGGGGACCTTCCTGCCCTCAAAGCCGCCAGCGGATGCCGTCTCATGAATTCCCGGAGGTGGGGTTAAGGTGGGGGGGGAGAGAAAAGAATCTCCCCTTCCCTTCAATTGGTCCAGTCCCCAAAATAGAGTCCGCATCCCCAAAATGCCTGGGGACAAGCCGGGGCTGGGCAGTGGCCTCTTGGGTTTTGGAGAGGGGAGGGGCCCGATAGGGGAAAGGGGACACTAGATGGGAACTGGAGGGAGAGGGGGGTCCCCAGGGGTCTGCAGCCCCTCAGAAGCGCTTGTCTTTCACCAGCCCATTCCTCAAAGGCTTCCTGGAGGGGACAAAGACAAAGGGGGATCAGAGCTCCTCCCCCACTCTTCTCTTCCCGCCTGGGCCCGCCCCCAGCCCCAATTTCCTCCCCGTCCTGCCCCAGTCGGAGGGGGCCATCATCACTCACTCTTCTTTCCAGGGCTTGGGGGTTGGGGGGTTGCCCTCCTTCCCAGAGGGCAGGGTCCGGGGGCCCTCACCGGCCTCATCATACTCCCGCACGTCGCTCACCTCCCGGACCTGGCCTGTCAGCACCTTGGCTGCAAACACCATTATGTACTGGGGAAGGGCAGAGACAGACAAGGGCGCAAAGATGAAACTGACCCCCGCATCCTGCATCCCTCCTCCCTCCTCCATCTTCCATCCCGGGGCCTCCCACACCATGGGGGGCGGGGCTCAGCATCTGGGGGATTTCAGGGGATGGGGAAACCCCACTGCAGAAACTCTAACTCTTTGAGTTGGCCCAGGGTTACACAAGTTAGTGGGTGTCAGAGGCATCTTCTGGTGTCCAAGGCAGGTCCTGAGGGGCAGTTGGTGGGTCAGAAGTCAAAAAACCAGAGATCAAATGTGACCTCAGACACACAGCTGTGTGACCCTGGGCAAATCACTTCTCCTGTTTGCCTCAGTTTCCTCACCTGTAAAATTGGGCTAGTAATAGCACTCCCTCTTTTGTTGTGAAGGATCAAGATAATATTTGTAGAGCATTTAGCAAATATGATTCAATATTTATATGATATATGTATTATTTTATTTGCCTGGCATACAGTAGGCATTATACAAATGCTTCCTTCTACTCACTTGGCCCTTGATTCTACTCACAGGAAACCCTTAGGTGACAGGTAATACAGGATCCTGCCTCCTGCCCTCCTAAAGACCCAGTCACTGTCCCCCTGGAGAGACTTCAGTGACTCCCCGTAGCCCTCTTCCTCTTCTCTTGGTCTTAGCTTCCTGAAAGATGAAGAATGTGGGGAAAGACCTCTGGCTCTGACCCTGTGATCCTAGCCTGATCATCCTGGCATTCAACCACCAACTGTTCAGTCATGTTTGACTCTCTGTGACCCCATTTGGGGTTTTCTTGGCAGAGATACTGGAGTGCTTTGCCACTTCCTTCTCCAGCTCATTTTACTTACAGATGAGGAAACTGAGGCAAAGAGTTACGTGACTAGCCCAGGGTCACATGGCTAGTAAGTGTCTGAGGCTGGATTTGACTCAGAAAGATGAGTCTTCCTGACTTCAGGCCTGATCCTCTATGTGTGGTACCCCATGCCCAGCTGCCCCAATAATAGATTTGGATACTAATAATGATATTTACAATTAAAGCATTTAGATAGCACTTTAATGTTTCTATTTCTTATGTATATTATCTCATTTGATCCTCACAATAGCCCTGGGAGGTAGTTGCTATGATTAACCCCCATTTTACAGGTGAGCCAACTGAGACACAGAAAGGTTAAGGTACTTGCCCAGGATTACACAGTAAGCTGAGGCAGCATCTGAACTCAGGTGTTCCTGGCTCCAAGTCCAAGGTTACACACTGCACTACCTAGCGGCCCCAAAGGGATTAGATTTATTCTCCTTGACCCCATGGGGGAAAAATAGCAGTGATGGAAAACCTGGAGTTGGGACTGAGGCGATTAGAGACTGATTTTGGCTTGTTCAAAAGTAAAATGGGCTGTCTTGATCTGCAGTGAGCTCCCTGTCAACATAGGTGTTCAAGAAGGGCTGTATGACGTCTCGCTGGAGTTGTGGTAGGTAAGGTGACTCCTGTTACAGTTTAGCCTCAGGCAGATGCCCTCTGAGCTCCTTTCCAGCTCAGTTAATCTACAATTCAGGCCCCTCCTGTCTTCTTCTGCTTCATCCCTTTGCAAGCCTGGAGTGGCTTCCCCCCCAATTCCTCCCCATCTTTTACAGTCAGGTCCTGGGGGCTCCCTGAATGAGGGGGAGTGTGGGCCCCCCAGGCAGACTTGGGAGCTGTCTCCCAGGGTCAAGAGAGAGACAACCCAGAGAGATGCGCTCATTTAAGAGCCGGGAGCTCAGTCCCCAGCCCTGTGCTTGGCTCATTGTGCAACCCAGTCTGGGGCTGACTGCTCCCTCTCACAGCCTCAGTCTCCCTATCTGTCAAATGGGAATAATAACCCTGGCATTCTGACCCCACAGGGTAGTTCTTCAGCCAACATCTCATCCCCTTTATCTGACCCAACCATCCCCACTAGTTATCGTCCTGTCTATGACCCAATTCTTTTAAGATTCCTCTAGAATCTGCTGCCACTTTCCTTCCTCTCACTCTCTTCTTAATCCTTTACAAGCTGGCTTCCAGCCTAACCATCCCACTGAACTGCCTCTCTCCAAAGCTACTGATGATCTTAGCTGCCAAACCAGTAGCCTTTTTTCAATCCTCACTGTGCTTGGCCGCTCTGGCACTGCAGGTCCTTCCCTCCCTCCTTGATATCCGGTCCCCTCTGGGTTTGTGACATTGGCCCCCACTGCTTCTCCTCCCACCTCTGCTCAGACCCCTTGTCTCCCATCTCCAGCCACCTGTTGGGCATCTTAAACTCCGGGTCCCACTGACAGCTTAAGGCCAACATGCCCAAAACCGACCTCGTCATCTTTCCACCCAAACCCTCTCCTCTTCTCAACTTTCCCATCATCGCTGGGGTGTCCTCCCATCATCTGTCTCCAAGTGTATTAAGTCCTGTTGTTAACGACACCTCTGACGCAGAGGAAACCACTTCACCGGGGTTCCTCCTCACCTCCTACCAGGTCTTCAGCCCTCGCCTGCAGGATGGGGAGAGGTCTGCCTGCCACTCAACTGCCAAAAGTCTCCTCGCTGGCTACTCAATCAACTGCAGTCTCCCTATTACCTCCAGGACCAAACAGAAAGTCCTCTGGCTTCTAAAGACCCCTGCCCACACAAGACACTCCATTTCCAGCCCTGGGCATTTTCCCTGGCTGTCCCCATGCGGGCAGAACCTCTCCCTCCACACCTCTGCCTCTTGGCCTCCTAGAAGCCTCAGCTCAAATTCTACCTTCTGCACGAAGCCTTTCCCAGTCCCCTCTTCCCCCTCCCGCCCCACCCCCAGGGCTCCTTCCTCCCGCTCCAAGACTGATGGCCATAGTTTGCTGTACAAGGAATGGAAGCGCCTTGAGGGCAGGACTTGCTTCATTTCTGCCTTTGTAACCCCAGTCCCCAGCACACAGTGCTTATCGAATTCCCACTGAGTTGAAAATAGCCCTTGGAATCTTGGGCACAGAAGAGAAAAAGTGCTTCCTCCATTTATGGATGCCAGAGGATGCTTCTGTAAAACTGTTGTTCTTTGTCACAAGGAAAGAGTCACTGAGGGGAGGAGGGGAGAAGAGGGAGGCAGAAAATAGCAAAAATGAAAGTTATGTAAAAACAAGAGATAAATTCACTTACTTAAAAATTAGCCTAGGAGGGAAACAAGGTCAGGATTATTTCTCCCCCTATTTGGCAGATGGAGAAACTGAGGCTTCCATACCGTCAGCCAGGGGTGGGGAACCACATGTGGCCCTCTAGGTCCTTGGGTGCGGCCTTTTTAACTGAGTCCAAGTTTAACAGAACCAATCCTTTTATTAAAGGGATTTGTTCTATGAAGTTTGGATTCCGTCAAAGGGCCCCATTTGAGGATCTAGAGGGCCCCATGTGGCTGTGAGGCTGCAGGTTCCCCACCCGTGCCCTGGTTCACTCAATTAGCTGCTGAGTGTGACAGCCAGGCCTCCTACCCAAGTCTCCAGAATCCCAGGCCAGGACCCTCAGAAGGACCATGAATTTTTGGAGCTTAGCCTTTGATCGGCTTAGCCCCAGGACAAAGACAGCATCCTGAGTGCCAGGTCCCCAAGCTTTCCCTGCTGTGCCCTGGGTTCAAATCCTGTTCCGCTATTTACTAGCTGTGGAACCACAGACCAACCCTCTATTTCCTTATCTGTAAAGGGGTCAGAATAATTCTTGTAATGCCTACATCACAGGGCTTTGTTAACCCTAGAGGACTAAAAAATGTGAACCAATGTTATTCACAGGTAGCAATGAGCTGGATTTGGAGTGAGCTCTGCCACTTGCTAGGGGGTACCATGGTGCACTGGGTGCTAGGTTTGGAGTCTAAAATCCAGCCTCAGGCACTTAGCAGCTGTGACCTTTGCCAAGTCCCTTACCCTCTGTTTGCCTCAGTTTCCTTGTCTATAAAATGGGGATAATAACAGCACCTCCCTCCCAGGGTTGTTGTGACAATCAAGTGAGATAACAATTGTAAACTGCTTATCCCAGTGCTTGGCATGTAGTAAGTGCCACATAAGTGTTAGCTGTTATTATTATTAGCTAGGTGACCCTAAGTTACCCTTTCTTCCTTTGGGCTTCATTCCTACTGGTGAGTAATCAGAATTACTGACACTTATGGCGCTTAAAAGCAAAGTACTTTCATAGGAATGATCCCACTGGATCCACCCCATCCATCCTCTGGGATGGGTGCTATTACTATTTCCATTTCACAGGTGAGAAAACTGAGGCTCAGAAAGTTTCTAAGTGGTAGCTGGCTTCAAAGACGGTATTTGAACTCAGCACTCTCCTCACTCACTACACCACCCCTACCTCTCTACTAGCAGGTGCCTTTTACCTCTCAATCTTATTATTGTCAGAAAAATGGAGGAACAGCCAGGTGGTGCAGTAGATGGCGCACTGGGCCCAGAGTCAGGAAAACCTGAGTTCAAATCATTCCGTGGACATTTCTTAGCTGTATGACTCTGGGCAAGTCACTTAGCATCCATCTGCCTCTGCCTCCTCTTTTATAAAAAGGGGATAATAAGAGACCTCCCTCCCAGGGTCGTTGGGAGGGGCAAATGAGATAAGAATAACAGGAATGATAGCTAACATTTACTAGGTGCCAAGCACTAAAGCACTCTATAAATTATATAAGAGCATTTAAATACTTTTTTACTTTTAATGTTTAAATACTATATATGGCTAGAATCTACATCATATAATAGATTTTTATTTTACATATGGATATATAATTCTCTATATAATCATACATAAAATGATCGTCAAGCTTCTAAAGAAGTGTTATCATTGCCCTACCCTTGGCCGCTCTGTCCCCGGGAGATGGCTCACCCACCCATTCCCCTGCGCCCGCAGCCCTTCTCCTCCCCTAGGCGCCCCCCCCAAGGCTCACCAGAAACCAGTAGATATTCATGAGCAAGAGGGCGAGCAGCAAGGCATTGAAGAAGAAGTAGAAGGGGACGTCGGGTACGGAGAGCAGGCTGCAGTGACACGTGGCATACAGCACTTTGAGGGGGAACCAATAAAGACGGAACCAGAACCTTGGGGAGAAGGCAGGGAGCACAGATGGGAGGAGAGTCAGGGAAGCCAGGTGGCCTAAGCAACCCGCCCAACGGCCCGCGGCTAGACAAGAGAGGGGAGGGGAGGGAGAAGGCCTCCGGACCGACCGCAAGTCCTCCTGCCGCCCGCCGTCCCAAGGTGACGGCCCTGTGGCACCTGCCTGGTCCGCCAGCCCCCCCTCAGTGCGGCCCAAAGCCTTGCTCACCAGCTGACGCTGAAACTGACACAACCCACGTCCGAGATGAGGTCGTTGAGCCGGTGATAGACGCCTCCTCGGAACTTGAAGTAGACGTTGAGCTTAGTGAATTCTAGCTGGACATCATTGATGTCGTGGAGGAAGAGAACAAGGATTCCTACGTTGTGGTACCTGGTGGGGTGGGGATGGTTAGGATGTCAGAGCCGGGAGGGCCCTTACAACCTAGGATGTCAGAGCTGGGAGAGCCCTTAGAACCCAGGATGTCAGAGCTGGGAGAGCCCTTAGAACCCAGGATGTCAGAGCCGGGAGAGCCCTTAGGACACAG